TGTCCCTTCCGTCGCGACGGAAGGTAAGAAAAATATCACCGTCATAGCCAGTCTTGGTCAGTAGAGCGCCCCTAATGGAAAGTTGGGGGCCTGCAGGAAGGTAAGAAAAATATCACCGCCAGTCTTGGTCAGTAGAGCGCCCCTAATGGAAAGTTGGGGGCCTGCAGTCCCAGACGGTTTTGAGCAGTCTGTACTTTTAGGCTCCTCTTGGTTGGCAACAAACGCCAGTGTACTGTTTCCAGTAGTTTTTTGTGTAAATCCGTAGCTCAGTTTGCTTTTGGGGAAGATGATGCTGTGGAGGGGTGCATATAAGAAAAGTTGCATCAGATTGTGGAGCGTGCAAGTTCTGCCCAGGCACACGATGCTCAGTGCTCCCTTAGGATTTCAGCATCTTTACTTCCAGATTTGCCAACAGCCGCAAAGGAGGAGAAAGAACCGAAACACCGCTGGAGTTTCTCCCCCCTTGGTTAGTGCAATCTGAACGGCAGCTAACCTTGCTTGGATAGTAGGATTTCGCACAGGGAGGCCAGCTGCAGTTGTGCTTACGGTTTGGGGTCTTCCGTGCCTGGAATCCCTGTGTGGCAGCTGTTTTTCTCTGGCACTTTGCCTTTGCTTCTGTTCTGGGAACGCTGCAGCTTCTTTAGTGTTTAAGTGTGCTTAAATCTTCCCTGCTTGCTGAGGAAACACCGGTGAAGGGGGGAAGCCGAAGAGAAGGGGGTGGGGTGGGGAATTTGATGCAGTTGCCCTCTGGGGCATCCTCCTGTTCTGGTGGAAGTTCTGCTGGTGGAAGAACACAGATTGGTGACTTCACTAGATTTCCCTTCTTCACCATGCCTCTTTATCAAGGGGAGGGAGTGTCTGGCAGGGCCTTTTTGTCATCGCAGAAGGTTGCTATAGGCAGGGAAGGTTTGTGTCCTTGGCTGTCTTAGGCTCACGGTTTGTCAGATCCAAGCATCTGCGCACCGTGTGGACTTTTAAGATAGTAATGGCCTTGTCGTGTTCTCCTTCAGATCCCTGCAAACCTTGCCTACCAGTCGCCTCACCCTGCGAAAAGGCTGCTCCACTGTCTCCAGTTCTAAACCACGAGGAAGAACCAAAAGAGGCAAGTTTTTTTAAAAAAAAATCTTTATAGGAAAAAATGTATTTGGTCAAGCTAAGCTTTGTTAAAAGAGCATCTTTTGCTGAGACAAACAAACAAACAAAAAGGGTAAGTGGATCATAATTGTTTTGCTTTCAGGAAGGTCAGACTGCCTTGCTTGTAGCAGATCTGAACAAGGCAATGCCCATGGAAGTCTATGTTTAATTAGTAGCAGCTGCTGTCATTGAAACCGGAGCAGCACATGATTGCTTGGGGTCTCCCTCTGTAAAATCCAGTCCCCATCATTTCTATTACATGCTGTCCCTCAGAATTTTATCACATCCCAGTTACCAATTAGTTTATTATTTATTACTTTAGATTTGTATCCCGCCTAGCCAGGGCAAACTGGCTCAAGGCGACGTACACGATAAAATAGATAAAACAATAAATACAATTTATATATATGTTAATGAATACAGATGGCGGTTGTTAGTATATATGGTCCGAAGCAAGAAGGCCATGCTCCAATGTTGTGACGTAGGGCTGTAACATGTTCAGTTTCCGATGGCTCCAGTGGCAGCTCCTAGTCAAAGACCTGGTGGAAGAGACCATTGAAAGCAGAGCTACAAAGACTGATCCTCGCTAGGAGGACATCCATTCTCCCAACCAGTATATTTAGGTTCTAACAAGCGGTTTTCTCGCATCCAAGGTTCTCTGAGACATCAATCTGTCAGTAACACAGCTGGCTAAATTCAGAAACTATTAAAACTTGAGTTGTTTCCCCTCTATTTTCTACAAACTCACGGGTAGGAGATCATAAGAAAAGCCATGCTGGGTCAGACCATTGGTCCATCTAATCCAGCACCTTTTCTCACACAGTGGCCCACCAGTTCCTCTGGAGTGCCAACAACAGGCCAAGGCCTTCTCTTGTTGTTGCCTCCTATCACTGGTATTCAGAGGTTTACTGCCTCTGTACATGGAGGTTCCCTTTAGTCACCGTGGCTAGTAGCCACTGGTAGACCTATCATCCATGAATCTATCCAATCTCCTATTAAAGCTTTCTATGTCTGTGGCCATCACTACATCAGGATTGCCACTTTCTAGAAGGTCAGGGAAATGAAAATTGGTCAGGGAAAGTCAGGGAAATCGGTCTGAAGTCAGGGGAAATCAGGGAAATTGTGATTAAAATATATCCAAGCAGTGGATTTTTGACCTGCTGCTGCAAGAGCACGATCTCTTCTTGTGGCAACTGGAATAGAGAAGTAGCAGAATACAAGTAGAACTTAATGATGCCCTTTCCCAACCATTTTAGATAGAACGTTTATATAATTTTTAGTGTACCCTTAAAACAATAACCAAAATGTGATGTCATTTATTAGCATTCAGAGTTTACTTGAATTGAAATGTGTATCTTGGTGTAATTTTTGGTGCAATTGCAAAACATGTTGCTGCAGTTAATGTTAAAGAAGCTGATATTAAATCTCTATGACAAATATTTTTGCAGTTGAGACTTGTGTAGTTGTAGAGTGGAATCTTACCTTGCATTAATGCAATACGACCAGTGTTCCCTCTACGCTGAGTTAGTGTAAGCTAGCTCACAGTTTTTTAAGCCTCTGGCGCACACATTCTTGCCCTCACTCAGGAAGGATGGCTCCGGAGCAAATTTAATTTATGCAGTAGCCAAATCGCTGGCTCACAACTTTCATGCCAGTAGCTCACGAAGTAGAATTTCTGCTCACAAGACTCCACAGCTTAGAGGGAGCATTGACCTATTAATTTTTTAACTTGTGGTTATATTTGAATGGTGGTCAGGGAAATTGACAAATGTTGGTCAGGGAAATGAAAAATAAAATTTTAGTGGCAACCCTGTTAACATCCTCTGGCAATAAATTCCAAATTTTAATAACTTACTGTGTAAAAAAACGATTTTCTTTTGTCCTTTCTGAACTGACTGCCCATCCGCTTCATTGGATGCCCTTGAGGTCTGCTATTTTGGGAGAGTAAGAAAAAGTTCTGTTTGTCAACTCTCTACCTCCCCATGCCCAATTTTATAAATTTTTATCACATCCCCCCTTAGTTGTCTCTTTTCTAAACCGAAAAGTCCCAGACGCTACAGCCTTTCCTCATAGGGAAGGTGTTTTAACCCTCTTGGTGGCCCTCTTCTGTACTTTTTCTGGCTCTGTGATGTCCTTTTTGAGATACAGTGACCAGAGCTGCACACAACTGAGGCCTCACTATAAATCTATACAGGGGCGTTCTAATAGCAGCTGTTTCATTTTCAATCCCTTTCCTAGTAATCCCTAACATAGAGTTTGCCTTTTTTGCCACTGGAGCACACTGGGTTGGCACTTCCATTGAGCAATCTACTACAACCCCAAGATCTTCTTCTCTCTGAGTCTCAGCAAGTTCAGACCCTATAGAGCAAAGTATGATCAGTGTTACGGGTGTGAGACTCAGACTCCTCCGGATTTCAGCACTCTTTATGCAAAACTCCTCCACAAGGTTATGTTAAAGTAAAATGTACTGCTCGGAGATGACTTTTTATTATTTTGAATTAATAGTAATATTTGGAACTGTTATAGTATTACATATATGGTGTATAGTTGGAATAGATTCAAAATATTCTTATTTCTATCATCACCTTGATGATGGTGCTGTAATCTTAACTGCTTTGTTAAAACTGTAAAAGGGGAGCTGGAAAACGAAGCATCTTGAAACGTATTTTTTAAAAAAGAGTAGAGTATATCAAGAGAAGACTACTAAGGGCCAGCTCTAGCTTCCTGTAGTCCTGTATTGGAGAGTTGCTGTCACTCGATCACTCTGTTATCGAACTCTTCTTCCAGGAGTTCAGGGCAGCATACATGATTCTCCCTTTCATTTTATCATCACAAGAACTGTATGAGATTGAAGAGTTTATGTGACTGGCCCAAGGTCATGTAGCAGGCTTTATGGCTGACCCAAAATCTCCCCTGTCCTTGTCCAACACTCTTAACTACTGTACCCACACCGAAGGACATGCACACTGCCACCAGTAACACTCCCACTTCAAAACAGGGCAACTCTGAGGCCAGTGGCTCAGGAGATTTGAGGGTGGAACCTCGGACGTCCACTAGACTCTTCTGGAATGTGCTGGGGTTCCGTGGCAGACGTGAAGGAGTTGTTCTGTGGTTAGGCCTCCTTGATCCGATAAAGTTTTAAAGCTCTAGAACCTACTACTGTGTTCTGTTGGTGATATTCTGTGTTTGTTTCGGCAGGACTCGAAGGACTCCCTCACAACAATGCCCTGCCAAATGAGGACTCCAGAAGCCCGTTTTTTCCCCGATCCATTCCTCCCCGATCCATTCCCATCAGAAGAGAAGACACAAGAAGATGCCATCCCTGAGGATCAAAAAGTCACAAGCCCAACCGCGCCACTCTCTCCAATACGGTCACAGCCAGTTGCCCTTCCCGAGAACGTCTCGCCAGCATCACCTGTGAAATCAACACCAGCATCTCCCACGTTACCGACACCTCCGCCTGCGACCCCCCCGCCTATATGTTCACAGCCTTTGCCCTCTGCCGAAGCATCCATTCCATCTCCAGTGGAGCCACCCGTCTGTTTTCAGCCAGTCCCAGCCTTAACCTCTACTCCTTTGGCCAAACTCGCCCTGAAAAGTCAAGACGGTGAGATGGAAAGATTGGGGAGCCCTACCTCAGCCGAAGAAGCCTTGAAACGTAATAACCTTGTGGAGGAGTTCTGGACGAAGAGTGCTGAAATCCGGAGGAGTCTGGGTCTCACCCCTGTGAACAGAGGCAGGGGGGAGTCAAGCTTTAGTACCATCTCACCCCTTGCGTCTAGTCCCCTCAAATCGTATACTCCTGATGGTACCCCAGAAGATAAGGGAATCCCTCTTGTAAAACCACAGCCAGCCCCCCGAAAGCCAGTCACACCCAAGCTGGATGAACAGTTTTCTCTGCTGACACCGAAGTCCCCGTCAGAGAGAGAGCTGAAAAATTCAAGCGACGTCAAGAGAGACCTGTCCAGCAGTTCTGGGCTTGGCCTTCAGGGCAGCTCTTCCAACATGAGAACACTAGCCAGCCAGAGTTTCAACACTTCCGATTCCACCATGCTCACTCCTCCATCCAGTCCCCCTCCTCCTCCACCTCAAAACGAAGAGCCGGCCACACTGCGAAGGAAGAGGCATCAGGCCACTTGGCAGAACGAGGCCGAATCGAAGCCAGCTTCCGAGCAAACGCCTCTTCCTCCACCAGCAAATGAGCGTAACAGTCCTGCCAGGGATCCACCCCAGCCTTCTCGAGAGGAGGTGCGGAAGTCGTTTGTGGAGAGCGTGGATGAGATACCGTTTGCTGACGACGTCGAGGACACCTACGACGAGAGGACCGAAGATACGAGCCTTCACGAAAAGTACTACACGCCCCCTACCAGCCGGTCAAGACCAGAGAAACCCCTTCACCTACATTTGGTGAAGGAGAACGGTGGGCCGCCATCGATGGAAGGAGGAAGCCAGCAGAAGAGAGGCCTGCCCCAAGTCTCCATGGAAGCGAAGGAACTAGCTGAGGAGAGAATGAGAGCTCGAGAGAAATCCGTGAAGAGCCAAGCTTTGCGTGACGCCATGGTTAAGCAGCTGTGCAGGATGAAAGATCTGGAGACGGCCAATGCTGCCAGTGCCACCAAATCTCACAAAGCCTCGACTGTGCCCTCAAAGACCAAAGAGCTGTTTTTCGAGTCCCCGAGACACGCGAAGGTGGGTGAAGTCCCCACACTGAAGCACGAAGCCAGTAGTGAAAAGTTCTTCTCGCCCTTTTCGGATATCAGTGGGCGCGATGCATCAGTCACCTCCTCAGAAGGTTCCGGAGGGAAGAGCAAGAAAAGGACTTCTCTCTTCTCGCCTCGTAAGAACAAGAAGGAGAAGAAGTCCAAGAACGACAGCAGGGTCTCGGACAAATCCAGCAGCGCGGCTGAAGAAGCCACCAAGCCCAAATCACTGTGGAAATCTGTGTTCTCCGGTTATAAGAAAGACAAGAAGAAAAAGGCAGATGACAAATCTTGCCCAAGCACACCTTCCAGTGGGACCACAGTGGATTCTGGGAAACATAAGGCATCTCCACTGGTTAGAGTGGCAGGTACGGTACCTTTTCCGCATTCTACTGCAACTGAGGAGTTGTCTTTGGTTTCTGCCATACGTAGCATGGTGTAGTGGTTAAGAGCAGTTGACTCTAACCTGGAGAAGTGGATTTGATACCCCAGTCCTCCACATGAAGCCAGCTGGGTGACCTTAGGTCAGTCACAGTTTTCTCAGAGCTGTCCTCTCAAGAGCAGCTCTCTCAGAGCTCTCTCAGCTCCACCTACCTCACAGGGTGCCTGTTGTGGGGAGAGGAAGGGAAGGCGACTGTAAGCTGCTCCAAGACTCCTTCAGGTAGTGAAGAGTGGGGTATAAAACCAGCTCTTCTTCATATGTTGCAAGTATTAGGAAATGCCCCTTTGTTCCCTCACAAGAGGTCTGATGGTACCTTGCAGTAACCCTCTGTTTGGCCTCATGTGGCACTCCAAAAGCAGGTACCAAGTGCTATTGGTCTCTCACCTCACATAAACACATGAAGCTTCCTTGTACTGAATCAGACAATTGGTTCATCAAGGTCTGAGGAGGGGCTGTGGCTCTGTGGTAGAGCATTTTCTTGGTATGCAGAAGGTCCCAGGTTCAATTTCCAGCATCTCCAGTTCAAAGGGTGAGATAGGAGGTGATGTGAAAGACCTCTGTCTGAGATCTTGGAGAGCTGCTGCCATTCTCAGTAGACAGTACTGACTCTGATAGACCAAGGGTCTGATTCAGTATAAGGTGGCTTCACGTGTTCATGATCGGTGTTGTCTACTCAGACTGACAGCGGCTGTCCAGCGTCTCAGGTGGAGGTCTTTCACATCACCTGTTGCTTAGTTCTTTTAGCTGGAGATGTCAGAGATTGAACCTTGGACCTTCTACATTCCAAGCAGATCCTCTACCCCTGAGCCAAGGCCCAGACTTTAGCAGTATGTTCTCATTGGGTGGGAATGATAATGGAGATATGTTCAAATCTTCCCAGTTTGTGTTTTCACTTTTATATGTGATAAGGAAAGAATGCAAAGAGAATGACTTGAGGCTAGAGTGCTTCCCTGCCTTATTGTGCAATGAAATGATGTAATATGTTTCTACCTGGAGGTTTTGTGGGGAGAAAGGATGGCGATAGGTCTTTTTGTCGCTGCTAGTGCTGGCCTCTGGCAAGCAACAAGGTGGCTACTGCTTGGTGCAAGATGTGTACATTGCGAATATGTTGTGGCTCTTTTGCTTTCAAAATCTGGAAAGCAAGCATTTTTGAGAGGTGGATTGGTACTATTGAAAGCTTTTTAGCTTGACAAGCAGCCTTTGCCTCTGATTCTCAGAGCTGAAACAGACATATGGTTAGTGAAGGAGTCTCTTGTTACGTGCCAAATGAAGAAATGGAGAACCCCGTATCCTGCTATGGCATTCTAGTTAGCCCAACAATGAAACTACAACCCCCCACCCCCCATCTTAATAGCTGCACTTCTAGCTCCAACAGTTGAAATTGGTTTCTTTTAAAGAAAGATTCACATCAGTGAAACCAATTTCAACTGTATATATATTCTTGTATGATATGAAGCCTGTATATCTTCAAAAGGAAAAATTGGGTACTGTTCCTCATCCCAGTACTAGCCAAGCATAAGAACACAAGCAGAGCCCTGCTCGATCAGAACTCTGGTCCAGCGTCCTGTTTGACACAGTGGCCAACCAGTTACCCTGTGGAGGTTAAACAATAGGGCACAGTGGCCAAGGACTTCCCCTGGTGTTGCCTCCTAGCACTGGTATACCGCCTCTGAACATGGAGGTTTCCTTATGTCTCCATGGCTAGCAGCCACTGATGGACCATAATTGGAGTTTTCTGTGCTCCTTGTGTTAAAGGTTACCGTCCTTCAGTCAAACAGGAGAAAGGTAGGATCTGCTGAGGGGCATCTTTTCCTCCTCTGCTGTGGGTGGTTGAGAAGAGGAGGCGTAAGCAAAGAAAGCCGGGAGAGAGGTGCCTGAAGAGAGAAACCCAAGAGAAGGCAGATAAAAAAAGAATAATTTCCAGTAGCACAGAAGTTTACTAGAGATTCCATAATAATTTTGCATCCAGCCTAAGCCCTGTGTTAAGTGATATATACAAGCCTGTATTTTCCGCATGTACTTGCAAGGGCTTTTAAGATCTAAGTGTCTAAAAATAACTGAAAATAAAATATATATTTGGGGTGCTAAAGGCAGCTTCCTCAATTCCTGGGGTGGGGGAGGTGATAACACCGATAAAATAGCCCTCTCATCCAAAGCATTATGCACACATGTGGAATGAACAAAACTACCCAGCGACATCACTGCTCCATGGCTAATCAGGGGCAGCCTTTTCTTTTTTCAAAAGTCCCAGAGTATGGCCTTGTCTTACAGGGCATGGTTATATCCCTGGGCGTTGGCTGTTTCTTCCAAAGCTGTCCGTTTTCCTGCCATTCCTAGCCTGAGAGAGAAATTTTTGGAGGCAGCAATCAATGAGGCACCACCCCCCGCCCCCAACTCTGAGTCAAGCTAACTCTCTCAGAGATTAAGGACGTACTGTCTCTCCTATACAGTCAGCTTTGCGTCAGATGTTACGGGCTGGGATCAGTAGAATTGGTCCCTATACCCTACTATATTCCTCGGACACATGTGCTTTCAATTTAAAGTAGCCGTTGGATGATCACAGGAAGAAAATTAGAAAGTGGAGTGGGTGTGAGAGCTCTTGTCAAACGCAAAAAATAACTTTCTGGGACGGTGTTGGATCCCCAAGCATCGAGAATAAATGATGACACTTTTAAAAGATTAGGTTATCAATCTATACCATAAAGGCAAGACATTTGACAAGTGGTGGAGGAGGGAAAGGGACACTCTTTTGTTCTTTTTGTTCGCTTGCTTTTTAAAACAAGGTTCTAGTGCTGTACTCAGCTTGTGCCATTTAGTCTGAGAAGCCCTTGTATCCTGTCACTACACAGCGGAAGGTCCAGAAGGAGATGTACAGGTCTGGCATCCACTGGGAGGGGGCAGTGGGCACGTCTTAGGGGGCCTAGCGCCCCCCCCCCCCGGCTAGCTACAGCCCCGACAGGAAGGGAGCGGAGAGAATGCTGTAGCCCTGTTTGCCGCTTTTAAGGCTCAAATCAGACAAAATGCTAGAAGATCCACAACTGGAGCATCTCATCATTGTACAAAGGTAGACTGCAGCCAGCGTATCTGGATCAGTGCTTCTATGCAAATGGCTTTCATGGTTTTGCCAGTTGAAGTAGACATACCCTCTCCTTCCCGGAGTGATCTTAGCCCTGGAAAGTATTTTAAAAAGACAAGTATGCTTTCTTTGCCTGTCTCCCCCCCCCCCTTTCAGCTCTCAATAACATCCTGGGGAAGGGGCCAGTTTCACTGGGGGCTGAGCTCAATGCCACAGGCTTGATCTGACTTGGGATCCTTTTGGCTACATGCAGTGTTCCCTCTAAGCTGAGTTAGTGTGAGCTAGCTCACACTAACTCAGCTTAGAGGGAACATTGGTACATGTCAACTTTAAAAAAACCCACCAAGGAGATCTGATTGTGGGTCTTCCAGTATCACATCTTGTTTGGCACTTACAAATTGAAAGAAGTTGTGCTTCCCAGCCTTAGAGGGAGTGTATACCCTTATAAAGGACTCGGCTAAAAAGCAAAACGATGACCAAGTGGCAGAGCATTGTCCCAGTAGAAAAGGGCACTGTGCTCCACTTGCCGTACAAGCAGAGGGTTGCATGGTACGGCTGTAGACAAGGAAGTGCCCAGGAAGATGGATTGTCTCACTACACTGAAGTGCCTCTTCTCTGGCTTTGCCACCTGATTGGTGTCTCCTTCTCCTAGCAGATTTGCAGCTGCGTCGGCACTTAAGCTTCTCAGAGGATTCTGACCTCTCCAATGATGACGTCTTGGAACGCTCTTCACAGAAATCCAAGCGAGAGGTAAGGTTAAACCGGGTGTGGAAATGTGCTCCTTCAAAGCTGGGAAGGCCCCCCCAATCTTAATAGTTAATGATGTGGTTAATTTCGATGTTTTTTTAACTGGTTTTGCTTCTGTGTTACTGGGCTGAAAAATTAAACCTGGAGGTCAGCACAAAAGGTCAATTCCTTCTAAGACCCAGTCTCCTGCTGCCACGGCGCATAAAAACTGTGCTGTGCTGTTGTTTGATATGTGGACAGCAACCCAGATTGACAGGTCGTTGGGTGGAATATTAGGCTTGATAGATGAGTGTTCCAGTTCTGCCAAAGCCTGTGAACTCTCTAGATGGCTTTAAGCAAATAACTGTCTCCAGGGGTGTCCTTTTAGATTGGGGAGGGGAACAGAATTTTTTTTAAAATAGGAAATTGTTTTTGTATGTCTTGTATGTTGTGGTGTAATTATTGTAAGTGGCTTTGGGCTACTTTACTGAAAAGCACAGTGAAAAATGTTTTAAACAAATCTTCAGCAATGTTTGTGCTTGGATCGATTCAAGAGGAACTTTTTCATATCTGCACCTGCAATGGTTGGGTAAAAAACAGTCTGTTGGCCAGAAATGTAGGTACTTTTAAAGTGCTATCCCATGTGCTCTGAAACTTGGATACCCTTTTTAAAATGGCACCTGTCTTGTCAGCTTCAGCCATTCAGTCTGTGACATGGGAGTAGCAGCAACATATTTCATAGTGTTGAGAATAGGGGAGTGCAAAAATGTTTTGTTTTTCCCCCAATTCAGGTCTGTTGGACCCAAAAAATATCAGTATTACGAATTGGGATTTAGGTAAATATTTAGGAAACCTGAATTTATTTGGCTCCATTATATTTTAGGGGGACTGTCCCCCTAGATTATAATGGAGAAGGGATTTAAAGTTTAAATCTGCAGTCTCTTTAAATGCCTTCTAGTTATGCCTGAATAAAAGCCAAATAATATTGGCTTTGATTCGGATGCAGCTATTTTGGTAGCTGAATACAGATCTCTGATAAAGGTATAATGATAAGGTATTTTTCAGGTATTTATTCAGCTTGGTATATACCAAGCGCACACCCCTAGTTGAGAATATTGTGAAGAATGTTGTCCTCTGCAAGGTGAGCACTTGGAACACAAGTTGGGAGGTCTTCGTTGGCATATCAAAACCAATTAGTTCTGACTTGTTTGAAGAGGGCAGTGACCCAACAAAGGAATGTGGGTGTGTCTCATGCTCACCATCTGAATTTTTATCTCTGGTTTGCACATCTGTAGCTTCATTGAACTGTTTTGTTTTTTAACATTGAATCTCTTCCTACTTCTCACATGCTTGCTTTTAGGTTGTTCATGGCAGGTACCGTGTTGCATCTGCAATGCAAAGGCAGGAGGAGGTACTTGGGGACATTAGAGGAGATGTTCTAGGAAGGGGAGATGATGGGTTCTTGATCAGTCATGCTGCAGTCTTTGTTATATTGCTGTTCAGAGCCTTGGAGCTGCTCTAAAGGTTCACGTGGCCACTTAGCACGAACCGCTTCGCCCGCGTTTGCGAACTGTGTGATGAAAGAGTGGGATGGTTTCCTCTCCAAAGAGCTGCTGCATGGTGGTGATTCTGCTGCCCTTCAATCAGCACAGCAAAAACTTGACTTTGAGTGATTGGCCCCAAGTTCAAAGCTGCTGGGTGTGTGTGGGGGGGGTGTTTCCTCCTGCTTTCCCACAGCGCTGTGGTGCTTCCTTATACAACCAGGGTTCTCCTTGACTTCATCTGTGGTCTTTCCCAAACCTGCTTTGCTGTGATATTTTGGGAAAGATCACAGGCAAGCCTACCGGCTGGCTGTTGTATAAGCAGGAAAGTCCAGATTTTCTCAGTCCAAGACGCATAGCAGCCATTTTTCCAGCTCCAGTCACCACAGCACTCACCCCACCCCATGTGTCACCGGGGGGGGGGAGAGGGAGAAGGGTTTTCTTTTTAAATCAATAGTTGGCACATTGTTATAACGGTATATCAGTATGTCCATTACTGGTCAGAAAAACCTCAAGAAAATTCCACCCTTTCCCCCATGGTGCGGGTCAGGGGAGATGGCCACCAAGGCAATTGGCGCAGGGAAAATGCAGGGAAAGCTGCCCTCTGGAAGGCCCATTGCCACCACACTGCATTGGCAGCAACAGTGACCCCGGGGCCTCCGTAGGGCAGCTTTGCCATGTGGTAGAGGCTTCAATCATGGAGGAGCTGCTATTATTACTATGCGTTGAAAGAGTGGAAATATTCTGTCTAGGGTTGCCAACTTCAGGTTGGGAAATTTCTAGAGATTTGGGGGTGGAGGAGCCCAGAGAGGTTGTGGTTTGGGGAGGGGGGGACCTCTGTGGGGTATAATGCCATTAACTCTACCCTCCAAGCCAGGCTTTTCCTCCAGGGGAACTGATTTCTGTCGTCTGGCCCCACCTGGACACTGGCGACCCTAATTCTGTCCATGTGCCCCTCCTGTTTTCCCCATCAAGTCGCAGTCAGACAGAGGCTGTTTGCCACCGCATGCCTCTGCGTAGCGACCCTGGTATTCCTTGGTGGGCTCCCATTCAAATACTAAACCAGGGCGGTCACTTCTTAGCTTCCGAGATCTGATGAGATTGGGCCAGCCTGGGCTATCCGGGTCAGGGCCCAGGTACATTACAGGGGCTAAACTAAACCAGATCAAATGTTCTTGACACTGAATAAGGGGCTGTCTAACTCACAGTTATGGGATCAAGAAGACTTACAGGATTGTATTGGTCGTGATTGTAATCACGAGGGAGAAAGCCCAGGGGGTGGTGGGGTGGCAGCGGGCAGTCGCATGGCCCTCCCTCTCCTACTTTCTCAACCTGCAGTTAAAAGAACCCCATCTGATACTTCCACACTGCTCCAGGGTCCATGCCGGCAAGTCGTGGGAACAGAAACAACAGAGTGGATTGGTAGTTTGATTTTGTTGCTAATCTTGAATCAGAGAGCAGGATCCTGGGTTATATTTCCCAAAACAGCTGTTTCTATTTTCTTCTCTGTGCCACTTGACTGATCCGGAACCCATCGGACCCTGCCAAGACACCTGACAGTCTTCTTGTTGTGACACCCTTAACCCTCTTGCTTCACTTCACGTGGCTTAAAAGGAGCGGTTGTGATTAGCTCATGAGTTTTGCCTGACTCACTGCACTAGAAGCCGCTTCTAAATAAATGCTTGTGACATTTCTTGTGGGTGTGTGTGTTCCTAGGATCTCTCGGCAGTGTGTGTAACGTGGTGGTAGTGACGCGCTGATTTGAGACGGTGAACTCCTCAAAAGACGTGTTTCCTTCTGTGGTGACTCGTAGAAAATGAGATTTTACATAAATGCCTCGTTTTAGTTTTCGTTTCCTATTTGTGGTTTGTTTGGTTTTTTTGCTTTTAGATAAACGGAATGTCCTGCAAAACTAGTTAGGGGCACGCATTGTGGCACTAGGCTGTCCGTGTGCTTTGTGATTCCATAAGCCAGGCCGTGCATTTGCAAAACTTGGTGTTGGGCATAAAGTTCAACATCCTGAAAATCATTTTTTTGTGTTTTTTTTAAAGTCCAGTTTGTATCCTTTAAGATTTTGCAGATGGGGAATGCAAAAAAGGCTATCCAAGCGTTAGGAACAGGGCTTCAGGGTTAAGAAGCAAATGTGAAGATAGATTTTCACATACATGTTTATCGGGACAAGGAATATAGCAGCGTTGGCCACCTGCAACTTTGCATATCTGTGTGTACAAAGGCGTAGTGTGGAGGACGGTAGATGTCTTTTTAAAGTGTGACTCAGCTTACTTGAGCAGGTTGGTGTTCCCTTTCAGCTCTTTGCTGAAATCAAAATCTGGCCCCAAATACCTGCATGGGTAAAATTGGTTTCGTGTTGGCCTGCAGAACTTGCAGAATCCCATGCTGGACAAATCCCACCCCCATGTGGCTTTTTCTTTTCTTTTTTTTGCCATTCCAGACAAAGACCGCAAGGTGGGGGAGAGGTTTGAGCAGGGAGGGGGGAGAGTTTGGATTAGTGGGCTCAAACTGTGCAGGACTGATCCAGTCTAGTACTGAACTTGCCCGAACTCAGAATTTGCCTAGTCAAAGTCTCCCCAAAGTAGGGAGACGTCCCCAAATGGCAGTCGCCATGCGGAATCTTGTGGAAGCCAGTGTTCTTATTCTAGCAATCAGGTTCCATTATGCATTTTCAGACCCTGCAGGATTCACCCCCCCTACATAGTTCCATGTTGCATTTCAAGCGGCCTTTGTGTTATTACTGTGCATTTTGTGTTTCAACGTTTAACTGATTTTTGCTCCATTTTATGTGTGTTGTGTCTTCCCCCCCCGCCTTTGCTATTCCTCTCCCTTCCTCCTCCCCCCCTTTTAAAGTCGATTTACGTACCACACGCCTTGGCATTCAAGAGGTCATACGCATCAAAGGTAGTGTCTCCATTCTCATTGATGGGCCATGGTTGCATGCATTCCCCTTACTAACCTGCCAGAACCATAGTCTGCACCCCCATCTCCCTGCCTTCACGTGTACTAACAACCCCTAACTGTGCATGTATGAAACCTTTAACAGATACAGACCAGCTAGCCATCGACAAGGAAACCCCAAACCCCAAATATTCCTGCCAACTTGAAATGCATGTAATATATGTATCAGGGAACCAGCAAGCAGAACCTCAGTTTGCTCTTGTAGATTTTCCAGGTTGTATGGCCGTGGTCTTGGCATTGTAGGACCTAATGTTTCGCCAGTAGCTGTGACTGGCATCCTCAGAGGTAAAACACAGAAAGATGGAGTACTCTCTGTGTCAAGAGAGTGTTCTGCCTCTGAGGATGCCAGTCACAGCTACTTGCGAAACGTCAGGTCCTACAATGCCAAGACCACGGCCAGACAGCCAGGAAAATCTACAACAGCTAATGAACTCCGGCAGTGAAAGCCTTCGACAACATATAGAACCTCAGTTGTTGTCTTCAGAACCACTTGGGGTTGGGATTTTTTGGTGGGTTTTTTTGCTACAGTTATATTTCAGAGGGCTGTTTGCTAGACAGAATGGGGGTTGACATTCTACTCCTCTTCTGCCAATGAGTTCGTGTGAACCCAAATTTGTCTGTGGGACAGCTGGTCTAAACAGACACACTGATCATTACAACCTATAGACAGATAATAGTAGTTCACTGCAAGCATATCTGCATTTTTTTAAAAAAAAATTAAGGATAAGAAAGTTTGTCTGTAAAATCTCTGTTTGCCCTTGCAAATCTCCAAATCGCCTGGTTGATTCTGAGCTCCTGATGAAGCCCAAATTGTAATCCAGGTTTGTTTTAGGAAGCTTGTGCTGATTTACATAAGGAATTCTAATTCTTTGAGAGGGATGAGAGGCTTGTAGCAGAATTCTTAGTGCCCCCAGTAAGTAGTTCCCAAGATTCTTTGGGGGAAGACAAGCCAATTAAACTGGTATAAAAGTCTGTGCATACAGAAATCCACTCTGCCCCTTTGATTGCAGCGTTGCTTTTTGTATTACTGCTTTATATGCGGAGATCTGCGCTCCCGCTGAGGGTGTGTAATTTGTAATGTGAGAATAGTCTTTGAAATATCTTTTGGGCATAGAATGTGCCTCTGGAAGGCCCTACGCGTTTCCAGTTTCAGAGACATATTTACTACGATCAAACAGAGTATTGGATGACTGTTCTCACCTTTTAGAACATGAGATGCCTGCACTGCCTAGCTCATAGAAGGAATTCACACATGAAACTGCCTTGTACTAAATCAGACCTTTGGTCCATCAGAGTCAGTATTGTCTACTCAGACTGGCAACAGCTTTCCAGGATCTCAGGCAGAGGCCTTTCGCATCCTCAACTGCCTGGCCCTTTCAACTGGAGACGCCCGGGATTGAACCTGGCACCTTCTGCATGCAAAGCAGAGGCTCTTCCATTAAGCCACGGCCCCTTCTCATATTTTCACGTTTCAGTGAAAGTTAGTCTGCTGTTACAAAATGGTTGTCTTCACAGGGGAGTTTGGATCTCCACACATCAAAGTGTGACACTGGAACCAGCCCATGGTCACAGGTTTCAAGAAGTCTTGAGAACCGAAGAAGGGGGGCAGTTTACTCATTTGCCTTTCTGATAGCCATTATGTTTCCTTTATGTATTTTTATGCCGATTGGCTGATGTTAATATACCAATGGAACTGGGTCTCAAGGATTTAAAAGAAACAGGCTCAGTGGAACACTGAAATTGTTTTCTGGTGGTGTGGCAACTTCTGGGACTAGTTACCCTGGTGGTAACTATAATGGCCTTCTCTTTCGTCCCTCCCCGTTTCAGGATTCAGCTCCACTGAGCTAACTGGATTCCCTTCTATAGTGGTATGAAGGCTGGGAAATCTCATTGTTGGAGGGTGCTTATAAATCATCTTCTATGCTTGTGGCAGTGAGAGACCTGCTCTCGATGTTATATTTTTATAGATACACCAGAAAACACATAACGCACCTGTCTACTTTCAGCATTGACAAGTGAATTCCTAAACTAAAAAAAAGGGGGGGGGTTGGTAGTAACACTTCTTCTCTTGGAATTAATTGTTTCATCATCGATCTTCTGTACAGGCATACCGTACATGGGGACTGCGCATGAGCAGGCCTGCCATTGGATAGGTCTTTACAGCTAGATGCCTCCAAGGGGTGCTGCACACTGGAGTCAGGAGCTTGTTCCTGCCCAGGGACTACGTGCTCCTGCACAGCAGTGCCCCCTACCTTCAGTTCCTCCTTTGCTGCCGAAGGAGAAGGTCGTGTTTTTGGAGTCTCCAGCTACAGTTGAGAGGATTTTTTGTCCAGAGTTGTTGAAGCTACATAAGAACGTAAGAGAACATAAGAGACGCCAATGTTGGATCAGGCCAAAGGCCAATCCAATCCAACACACTATGTCACACAGTGGCCAGAAACACCAGTGGGGCCAGGACATTAGAAGCCCTCCCACTGTTGACCCCCCCCCAAGCACCAAGAAGACAGAGCATCACTTGCCCCAGAGCCCCTATCTATACCTTGTGGCTAATAGCCACTGATGGACCTCTGCTCCATATGCTTATCTAATTCCCTTTTGAAGCCGTCCATGCTTGTAGCCGCCACCACTTCCTGTGGCAGTGAATTCCATGTGTTAATCACTCTTTGGGTGAAGAAGGACTTCCTTTTATCCGTTCTAACCCGACCGCTCAGCAATTTCATGGAGTGCCCACGAGTTCTTGTATTGTGGGAAAGGGAGAAAAGTACCTCTTTCTCTACCTGCTCTATCCCATTGCATAATCTTATAAACCTCAATCATGTCTCCCCTCAGTCATCGTTTCTCTAAGCTAAAGAGCCCTAAGCGCTTTAACCTTTCCTCATAGGGAAAGTGTTCCAACCCTTTTATCATTCGAGTTGCCCTTTTCTGCACTTTTTCCAAAGCTATAATATCCTTTTTGAACCCCTTGCTACCTGTTCTTTGCCAGAACTTTCTATGAAGGTGTGTTTCTTAGTAGCTGTTACCTCAGCCAGGACGGTGCGTGAGCCAGCAGCGCTTCAGATAGAGCCCCCATTTTTGCAGTTCTTTCCTGAAAGGGTAGTCCTTCAACATAGTTTTAGGTTTCTTCCTAAGGTAGTTTCTAGGTTCCATTTATCCTGAGATATTGTTTTGCCCGTATTTTTTCCTTCACAAAGCTCTAAGAATGAGTGCTCATTGGATTCTTTAGATGCTGGGAGGGTATTATTCTTTTACCCCAAGACCACCCTGGAGTTTTGCAGGGATAGAGCCCTGTTTGTTTGTTTTAGTGGCCCTAAGAGAGGTAGGAGAGCATCATCTCAGTCCCTGTCCCGATGGATTTTCAAGACCCTTAGGGTGTGTTATAATATGGACAAATGGCCATGCCCGTTGAACATTCATGCCCATTCCACTAGGGCACTGGCTTCTTCCGCAGCTTTCCTGGATGGAGTGTCTTTGACAAAGATCTGCGGAGCTGCCACTTGGTTGTCGGCAAACATAAGAACATAAGAGATGCCAATGTTGGATCAGGCCAAAGGCCCATCCAGTCCAACACTCTGTATCACACAGTGGCCAAAAATACCAGGAGCCATCAGGAGGTCCACCAGTGGGGCCAGGACATTAGAAGCCCTCCCATTGTTGACCCCCCCCCCCAAGCACCAAGAAGACAGAGCATCACTTGCCCCAGAGTCCCTATCTATACCTTGTGGCTAATAGCCACTGATGGACCTCTGCTCCATATGCTTATCTAATTCCCTCTTGAAGCCATCCATGCTTGTAGCCGCCACCACTTCCTGTGGCAGTGAATTCCAAGTGTTAATCACTCTTTGGGTGAAGAAGTACTTCCTTTTATCCGTTCTAACCCGACCGCTCAGCAATTTCATGGAGTGCCCACGAGTTCTTGTATTGTGAGAAAGGGAGAAAAGTACCTCTTTCTCTACCTGCTCTATCCCATGCATAATCTTATAAACCTCGATCATGTCACCCCTCAGTCGTTGTTTCTCCAAGCTAAAGAGCCCTAAGCGCCTTAACCTTTCCTCATAGGGAAAGTGTTCCAACCCCGCTGCATGCTGTGGGTTTGACAGCGCTAGACACGTTTGTACATCACTACACTTTGGATCTGCAGGCGAGACATGAGGCTCAAGTGGGCAAGGCAGTTCTTCATTTGCTGTTCAAGTGAGGAGCCCACTGCCTGGTGAGTAGCTTGCTAGAATCCCCATGTGGGTCTGCACAGAAGATCGATGATGAAAACAAAGTTGCATTTACTTGTAACTGTTGTTCATCGAGTATCTTCTGTGCAGGCCCACATAACCTCCATCCCACCCCGCTGCATGCTCTAGGCTTTGACAGCGCTAGAGGTGCTAAAGGTAGGGGTGTGCTGGTGTGCAGCACCTGGGTGGGAACAAGCTTCTGACTCCAGTGCACAGCACCCCCTGGAGACTTCTAGCTGTAAAGACCTATCCAGTGGCAGGCCTGCTCATGCGCAGTCCCCATGTGTGCCTGCAGAGGGTAGTTGATGAGCAATAGTTACTGGCAGTGTTCCCTCTAAGCTGAGTTAGTGTGAGCTAGCTCAGTTTGGTGCTAAGGGTAGGGGTGTCCTGGTGTGCAGCACCCGGGTGGGAACAAGCTTCTGACTCCAGTGCGCAGCACCCCCTGGAGACTTCTAGTTGTAAAGACCTATCCAGTGGCAGGCCTGCTCATGCGCAGTCCCCATGTGTGCCTGCAGAGGATAGTTGATGAGCAATAGTTACAGGTAAGTGCAACTTCATTTAATTCTGACAAGATGTCTTCAGACACATGCTGCTCCAATGTCTTTAAAGTTGCAATGTGGACTGCAGTTCTTTGTGGTCAATTCAAATTGCAAAAGTGTAGCCAAGCTACATAATCAGCAGGCCCGTAAGATGCATCCACGCCTGGATTAAACCATTAAAGACTGCTGTGTCGAGGACTGCATGTATATAGGTTCCCCTACATAAGTCAAGAATGTCAACCTTGTCTTTTTCCTGCCATTCTAGTTTGATGTGCTGAGAACTGATTTTTTTTCCTTATGGAGGATCACTCAAATATTGACCCTCCCATTTGTAGACTGAAGTAAGAGCACAGCAGTCAAGCGGGTCTTTGCTGATCCTGTGTTTCAGTTCCCAGTTTTGTTGCATATGCAGGCTGAGTGGGCCCGTGCACAGGTCAGCACACGGTTAAGTGGCTTCTGTGCCAGTGAGCGGTTGAATCTCATAGCTCGTACACACTGGCAGTGCAGTCCAACCGGAGCATCACCCTGCGCTGTTCTTTGCACAGATTTACTTGGCCTACTTCTCAACATAGTTTGGTCATGAGGATGAGTCCCCTGGGTGCATTGATGTATCGCTAAGGATAAACAGACACCAAGGATTGTGTTTTTAATAAATTAAAGAAATCCACACATATTCTATACCGAGGACATGCTGATAAGGGCATCGGTGAGCCGATGCAGTCATAGCCAGAAGCACCCTATAAAACCACTTGCTTTTGCACCCTTTTTTTCACGCTTTGAAAAAGAGAGCGGTGACTCACGAGAGCTCATGCCCTGCCACACATTCTCTAAGTCTTTAAGGTGCTACTGGACTCTTGCTCTTTTCTGTTCGCATCCCAGTTCACGCCTCTGCCTTTGTGTCTCAGTTCCCCACAAGGTCTAGTTCCTGCAGGGTTAGCACATATGTGGATGGGCAGCTTGCCTGGGGAACCTGGCCAGTAGCACAGCATGCTAGGAAGGAAGGGCCAGATGATGATGGCATGTGCTGAACCGGGCTTCTTTCTGTTGCCACAGAGGGCGTACACGGAGGACGAGCTCAATGCCAAACTGACCAGGCGGGTGCAGAAGGCAGCCCGCCGACAAGCCAAGCAGGAGGAGCTGAAGAGGCTGCACAGGGCCCAGATCCCCCCCCCCCCCCGGACGTTTTCTTCCATTCTTCCAGGAAATGTCTTCTGCAGTGTGCATTGGAAAAGCTCATCGTATTCCTATGTTGGGCGGACTGCATAGGCCTGTGTTGTGTTTTAGTACTCATGTTTTAGCAGGCGTTAAAAAATTTGTTTAAATATTTATTTGATGCGGTAAAAAGATATAAGTGTATCTCTGCCTGCCTGCCTCCCTTTCCGAGCCCTAGTGTATACACGCCTACAGTAGGAATCATTCTCTTACTGTTGCTAACTCTTAGTGTTGCTAATAGTGCTACACTTGTAAAAGTTATATAGGACAAAATTTTCAAACAGTAGGAGGTGCCAGAAGAAAGTGACACATATGTGTATATTTCTTCCTTATACTGATCCTACCAAGCCCAGGAGTGTGGTTTTTTTTTTTTTAATTAGAAGAAGATTTGGGTTTTATACCTGGTTTTTCTCTACCTTAAGGAGTCTCAAAGAGGCTTACCATCACCTTCCTTTCCCCTCCCCACAACAGGCACCATGTGAGGTAGGTGGGGCTGAGAGAGTTCTGAGAGAACTGTGACTGGCCCAAGGTCACCCAGCAGGCTTCATGTGGAGGAAGAAGAGAAGAACAGTAGGTTTTTATACCCCACTTTTCTCTACCATAAGGAGTCTTAAAGTGGCTTACAATCTCCTTCACTTCCTCTCCCCACAACAGGCACCTTGTAAGGCAGGTGGGGCTGAGAGAGTTCTGAGAGAACTGTGACTGGCCCAAGGTAACCCAGCATGCTTCATGTGGAGGAAGAGTGGGGAATCTCCAGATCAGAGTCCACCATTCTTACCCATGACACCATGCTAGGATCCTACCAGTTGGACATCTGCAGATTATGGGGATCTATGCTCATATTTGTGTCTCTGCTTCCACAGATTATCCAACGGCAGCTGGAGCAGGTAGAAGAAAAGCAGAGGCAGCTGGAAGAGAGGGGAGTTGCTGTGGAGAAGGCCCTTAGGGGAGAAGCAGGTACCTTCCAATATTTTGTGTTTTCTTCTCTCTTTTTTTTTCTTATTATGTTTTGTTAAAAAGGTTGTCTGTTATCTATAAACCAGGCCCCCATCTGAGCGGCAAAGTTTTTTTTTGTTTTTAATTGATCAGTGTGTTCATTAAAATTCACCGTTCCCCTTCTCTACCTCGGCCCCCTCTCGCCAGTGAGCCATGTACTGCAGCAAGTTTTTCCCAGCACAGTTGCATTTGATCTGCAAGTACCACTTGCCATGTCAGCTCCAGAGCCAAAAAATTGCCTGGTTATTAGTTACATCATTGCAAAAAGTTGTAGCAAAGCTTACAGATTACCTGACTCTGTTGATATTCGTTTAGGTAATAAAACTCGTCCTACCAGGGATGCCGCCTCCCCTTTCCGAGGGAAGCTCGAAGGGGGGGTGGGATGAAATGGATACGCTGTGTGGTTTTATTCATTGTGCTGGTAATCGACATTAGCACCCTCACAAGGGACCATCACAGAACAGCGCCAGCAGGTACCACGTGTTCTCTGCACAGCACTGCACAACCACAGTCCCTCTCACCGAGATATGCAGAGCAGAAATTTGTAACGGTGCGTGAACAGGTTTTCATCATCTCCTGCCACGAGCTATGTACCCTGGATGGCTAGAATTAATCAGTGGTGTTAGGAATTAATGTAGATGAAGAGGTATTAGACATTTCGTCATACGCAGGGCTGCTGATAAAATTAAATGGCATCCCCGTGCCTGGTTCTCTTCCCCTTTTAACTGTAACCTGTATTGAAGTTCGCCATGGAAACGGATGTCATCATGCTTGTTTCCCCGTCTTTTTTCCATTTTGGTAGCTGTCATTGGTGGGAGAAATTCACAGCGTGGTGGCACTGCATCCCCATTGGGTTCTGTCAAACAAGAACAAGGCAGAGAACTAGACTCTGGGATGCCTTGTTCAGTGGCAGCCCTGTGTCTTGCTGCGACATCTGATTTTGCTGTCTTCCATGCCGGGAGAGTGTACTTAAATAAATGTTTTTTTAATGATGCTCTCAAAAGCCTCTCCTTCCTGTCCTGCAGTCCTTGCTCTATTTTGATCCATGTATGCATACAGGTAATTATTAATTCAGCCTCTAGTATTCAAAAGAAGCTACAGGGTTTTTTCCCATACAAGTTGGGAAGCATAATGTGACTGCAGTAGCTTCCCCTATATGGCTCGGAATAACCTTTTCTGTTTTATTTGACACGTTGGAATTTCCTGTGGGGACTGTATAGGAGTATCAGGAGCCAGCCAATATCATCTTGCTGCTACTGCAGGATCAGTATGTTAAGAACAAATCGTATTATATAAATAACAATACACTTAAAGATACAGTGTACTTATTTCCTTTCAATTTATTTCATAACTCTTCCTGGCAGTCTCCTGGCAGGTAACAGCCTGTCTCACGACACACTTAGCAATCAATACTGAATTATTTGAATGCAAACCCCTTTCTAACCATGGGCTACAAAATGCCACCCCAGTGATGCCATTTTAAAATGCTGAGAGGGTCCGATCCTGATCAGACCACGGCACAGCAGGCTGAGACGCTCGTCCCCCTTATCAAGTGCTGAAATAGATGCACACATACACCATGGCTGTTTTGGCATTAGAAAAGATGTGGAGGCACGGGACAAAAGCGCCGCACTGTGGGCCTGATCAGGATCTGGCCCTTGCGACATCTTTAAATGACTTTAAAACAGCTGCAGCATCCTTGTGGTGGCCACGGGGACACCATCACATCTACTTTGGCCCTTAGAGAAGGCTTTAGTGGCCTATGGAAAGATACTGAGGCTTTGATGACTCTTACTGAGTGAAAGTTTCATGAATGCAGATAAAGGAAGTGATCTCAGTTGAACTTCACCCATTTGAGGTTTAGAGATCACAAGGGGAGGGGATGTGGCTTAGTGGAAGAGCCTCTGCTCTTCATGCAGAAGGTCCCAGGTTCAGTCCCCAGCATCTCTACTTAAAAATGACCAGGCAGTAAGTGAAGTGGAAGACCTTTGCCTGAGGCCCTGGAGAGCCACTGCCCATCTGAGTAGACAGTACTGGCCTTAATGGATTCAGTATAAGGCAGCTTTATGTGTGAGAACCAGCACCATCTGGTTTAATGTGTGTGTGTTCTAGGTAACCCATCCTTGTCAAGAGCCTGTCCTCTTTTTAAGGGAAACCCCGCTAGAACTAAAACAGACATTAATGTTTTCCAAACATTGGGGGTAGCACCCTAGCAGCCGACTATTCAAACATACAGTTTTTTTCCTGTCTGATAGTAAGCTCTGATTAAAGTGGTTTTGGGAGGATTTCAGAGCAATTCTCGCTCAATGAAAGAGAATCCACTTTCTTGGAAGGGGGTGCAAGTCCTGTTCATTCTGTGGCTACTAAATGGAATTACTAGCTCACAAGTGTCCCATGATATCACTGGAGAGAGGTCCCACATACCCCAGCCTAATTCCAAGGCTACCTTTGCAACTTCATTAAAGGATTTTTTGAAACAAAATTTAGCCAGCTGAAGGACGAGCGAATATGCACGTCAACACATATCTGGGTCTTTTAAATAGCAATAATACAAGGCTACCCATTCACATGTGCAGCTGCCTACTTCCATCTGAAACAGCATTTCCTTGTTTTGTTTTGTTTTAAATAAATGAGGCTTCAGAGTTCATTCTCCTTCTCTAAAACTAGAGCAGATGTCTTCTGAAATTTCCATTAAAAAGGCAAGCAAGGCTCCCAGTCTCCGTTCTTAAATTTCTCTGGAGAGACGGTGAGATAGCGAGAGGCTCCTCTCTATCCCAAAAGGGACACAGAGGAGCATCTCTCTGGAGGAGTTTTCATCTGTCAGTTGTGTGGTAGTGAGGACTAAATAGATCAGAAACGGTTGTAAAATCTCTGTTCATCCATGGACAGATCTCTGACTTGCCAAACAATTAACACCTTTGTCATCATTTGGGCCTTTGCCTATTTATTTCTTTTCCTGGTTCTCCTTGCCACTCCCCAATGATGCCACCTGAGACTGAAGAGCTTTACGGACACTTGGAAGCTCCTGCCTCAGTGGCAGCACGTTGGCAAACCCAAAATGACTAGGAATGTCTATGGATAACTTGTGGGTCGAGGTGGAAAAGATTGGGGAAGGGGACTAAACTTAGACTTTTCTCCAAGGACCTTGTAGTCATTTCTGCTTGTGAGTACCAGATTTGTTTTTGAAGTCAAGGTTGGGAATTCCTAAACATTTGGCAGTACGGAGAAAACCTCAAATTTCAGGATCCTGATTGGGAAAAGATCTGGGCTTAGGAGAGAATCTCAGTCCCTCTGCAAGATGGAACCCCAGACTTTCATGTGCTTCTTTTGCCGTACTTTTAGTGTCGTCAGTAATTTTCAGTGTCTTTTATGGATTCAATCATACCATTTATATGTACCCTTCTACAAAAAAAACACTGTGGATGGCTTATGATGAAATCTGAACAACTAACAGAATTAGTAAAAATTAATAATACATTAAATTTAGCAAGGAACTGCAACCCCGCAAAAGACTTAAAACAGCTGCAGTAACAACATCCATTATCTTAAGAGACCCGACAGCACTAAAAAGTAGTGCTGGTAAAACCAAACAAAACCCCCCAAAACCCTGGAATAAAATAGTTCCTTTTGGGCAGGGAAGGTTCTCTCCATACTCTCATATGACCTCCAGTTAATGTTCTTGCCTCCTACATAAGCTCCAGTATCAGTCAGTTGAACAACAACAGTCAATCAAAATGTCTTAACAGCTGACAGGGGTCTAGATTTGACCACTCCGTTCAGCAAAGATTAAAGCCTTCCTCCAGCCTTCCTCTTGTTGAAGAGCCACTTAAGCTGGCAGAAGGCTCATTAGGTGTGAAGGTGGTTCAGACTTCATCACACAGAGTAGTAGGATGCAGATCAATGTATAAAGTGAGACAGGTGCTTTCGCACATGCTAAATGCTAAATCAGGGGTGTCAAACTCATTTGTTATGAGGGCCGGATCTGACATGAATGAGACTTTGTTGGGCCGGGCCATGTGTGTCATAAAATGTAATGCCAGGTAGCGAAGGTATAAACTTTATAAAGGGCACAAACACAAAGATTTTTTTTTACTTAAAATAAAAACATGCTTAAAACATTAGCACTCTGTGATATTTTGTTTATTTAACAGTGTCTGATAACTGACATCTCTTGTTCTGAATCATTGCATCAAAATGTCTGTGCCGTTGCAATCTTGAGTATGCTGTTCAGGTGTGTATCTGTAAGCTGCAAGCCTGCTTTTGATTTATTGACATTCACCACAGAAATCTCACGTTCAGAGTTCTGAGTCAAGGACCCAGGTTAAAACATGAAATGGCTGAGCGAGTGAGAGAGTCTAGCAAAGCAAGCTATGATGCAGCAGCAGCAGCAGAACTGGAAGCAGGAGATGGCCAGTTCCACTGCGAGCCTGATAGAAGCCCTCTGGCGGCCTGATCCAGCCTCCGGGCCGCATGTTTGACACCCCTGTGCTAACTAATGCATTTTCAGTCCACTTCAGCGACTGCTTGCAAGTGGATTTTGCCATTTCACACAGTAAAATCCAGTTACAGAGTGGATTGAAAGTGCACTATTTAGTGTGTGTGAAAGCACCCATGTGTTAACGATAAGGAAAAGGACTCACCTGCTCATTAAACCCCCTTTCCCCAAAACTGGTCTTTCTCCAGTTGCTGACAGTGGGTTCCTTGTACATTCGTGTGACTTGGAAGCTAAGATCATCTCACCAAAGACTATTTTCTGCATATATGTTGTGTTCCACTTTCAGATGCTCTATAACGTGAGGTCGATGCATATATGTCTCTCCTACCCCGGGGGAAAAAATGTCTCTCCTACCCCACATAGTTATGGTGAAGTAAACATTGTGTGCCCATCTAGTAGTGCACACACAGCGTACATGCATTTTACCTACTATGTTAGTGTTGTATATTTATATAAAATAGTCTTG